CCATACGGTGCTGCTCCTGCAGGTGCCGTGAGCTCTGGCAAGCCCGGAGAGTGCCCGGCGAATTTGGTGAACTGCGGTGTCTGCAGGTGCACCACGAGGAGCGCCTGCCAGTGGTGCGACGGACAGGGGGGCCCCGCCTCCATCACTGGGCCTGGAAGCATCAGCGCCGTCCCACGAGGCTCTGCGCTGGCAGTGACGCTGCTGGCGCTTCCGGTGACCATCGCTCTGTGGCAGTGAGGCCTTTTCCGCACCGGGGATTCTGTATCCCCAGCTGCAAACTAGGGGCTCATGGAGGCAACATGCTGTGTTCGAGACTTGAGGGCATGGTTACTAGTGTGGCATTCTATGCCAGAAGCACTAGACATCGTGGAGTTGGCTTTGTTTTGCTTCTCTTGCTCCCTAGATCTTATTCCTGCGGCCAATAGAGCTGCAACAGCCCGTCAGCAACCCAGCACCTGCTTCCGTCCTTCATTTAGGATCCATGTCCACAGCTTGAGATTGTTGTGTTGCTGGTGTAGGAGTGCTGGCGCTTCCATGCATCTGTCACGTCTGATGCCTATGTTCCATGCTCAGCATCCAGCAAGTCGGGAATGGAAAGCCGTTGTTCTGGGCGAAGATCGAACTTCGGCAGTCCTGCTGCTGACCTTGTGCATAAATTCATTTGTTGGCGCACCTCTTGACGGAGCCGGAGCTATTGGAAAACAAGCTTTGGTCCGTGACTTTCGTGTCAACTTACTGACCCCTTCAAAGAGTAAGCTACTCCATGGCTTGCCCAGCATCTTTGCAATGCTGACTGTAAACAACCAATGAATCAATAGTATGATGAAGTTCGTTTCTATGTGTGGCACTTACCTGTAGGTTCATGGGAAGTTGTCTTAATTGGGATAACCAGAGTCACAACCCACTTTGCGGTACTCCTCAACCCTAGACTCTTGAAAACTCCTAAACCTTAATCTAATGTGGACCCTTCCGCCCAGCAATAGTGACTATAAGGGTTAATGGTGATTATATTAGGGCCCTCTTATGTCCGTATTATACCACTATTACAGGGTGGGAGGTCCACCTGATGTAAAAGTTCTCCAGAAGTCTTATACTTAAGATGCGCGCGGAGATGCAGGGAGCTCTCGCATTTACCCGCCAGTGGCCCTTGTTCACTTATGTAAGAACTTGTCACCTCTCTCCTGCAACCTGCTGATAGTGAATACTCCCAGTAGAAGACGATTTTTAATTTTTGCCTATGACAGGATTGTATACTAGGGCAAGAGTGGTTCCTCGACATTATTAAGGGTATAGGCCCTCTTCAAAGAAGCTGCCTGGAATCTCTCATTTAGATTTGGTAGTTTCCCAAAAATAGGGGGACCCCAACATGGACCCCCAAATACTATAGTCCTTATTATAGAGACCCCCCAAGAAGGTGCCCTGAAACCTAAACCCTACCCGCTAATTTTGGAAAACGCCATCTGCCTTAACGTGGTGACTGCACGGAAGCTCATGGCTGTCTAGAAGCTTGTCACAGGGGTTCAGAAATTCGCTGGTTCTTGAGACGAAGCCATGGAGTGAGGGATCCTAGGGGCTTTCAAGGGTTTAGGGTTTCGGGGGGTGCACTTAGAACTCCTATTTCCGCATCAATCATGTTCACTGCTACTGCTGCAGGGGGCCCAGTTCATATCCGTATAATGCTACCTACATTCATTTCCCCCCTGCCCCTCAAGCACCAGATCGACAACGTTGGACAAAACTGTCACCACATTGTTGCTGAACCAGGAATTTCTACGCGCGAATAGGAGACCCACAATAAGATTCCCCACTAGGACAGTCCTTGTGATTGGCTCCAAAGTGGAGCCATGCATTGTTGTTGAACCAGGAATTTATATGCGTGAAAAGGAGACTCGCAATAAGATTTTTTCACTGGGACAGTCTGTGTGATTGGCTCCAAACTGGAACCCTTGATAGAACCTCTTTTTTAGGTCGTGGTAGATCAAGGCCAGCCACTAGCCCCTGCAACCTCGTAATTGGAAGCGACCTAATGCCGTAGCTGTTTGGATGGTTCCAGCTTGCTGCGCAGAGGGCTGCGTTCCAGAGATCATAGTTCCTGGCAATCATGGCAGCCTTTCTCATGCTTCTGGTGACCCTGAGACTTGCATTTGCGGACCTCAGCGCCGGCAAGTTTAACAACACACTGCAGGGCGCTGGTCCCCGGCATTTGGCGGCTTGTGGCCTGGCAGGCAAAGTGGACTGTGGAGTCTGCGAGTGCACCGTCGAGTCCGCTTGCCAGTGGTGCGACGGCAACGGCGGCCCTGCTCGTGTCGGCAGCATCAGCCGCCCGTCGGGTGCTAGCCTTCCTGTGAGTGCCGTAAGCAATGGCAAAAACGGAGAGTGCCCTTCAAACATGGTGAACTGCGGTGTCTGCAAGTGCACCACGAGCAGGGCCTGCCAGTATTGTGACGGCATGGGAGGCCCTGCCAAAATCACAGGAAGTGGGACCATCAGCGCCGTCCCACGAGGCTCCACACTGGCAGTGACGCTGCTGGCGCTTCCGCTCACCATCGCTCTGTGGCAGTGAGACCTTTTCCATTCCAAAACCCTGTATAGCAGCCTGAGTTATGAGCACTATATGTGGAACCACACCTTTCCTGATACAAATACATGGTTCCTGAAGAAAGGCTATTACCGTGATGAGTATTTTTACTAGTTTGTTTACTATTAGTAGTCTTACATGATTGTGATTGTAATTATTCGTATTACTATTCCCCATGTGCTCATTCAGGCCCTCATAGTCTTCAAGCTCTTCCGACGGCCAAGAGTGCCGCGCAACACGTTGGTGACAGCCCAACACTTGCTGAGAGGCGTTGCCAGGGTTTTTTAGGGGTTTAAAAGTCTAGTGGCGGACTTGGGTTTAGGCTTGCGTATTGTTAGTGGGTAGATCCTGCATGACACTCCATATAGTCAAGCCAGTGTTGCATAAGGTGTTCAATGTTTGTGTGGAGTTTTGTCCGTCCACAGATTTCAAGACATGTCAGACAGAATTCAGGACTTAAAATCAGTCTAGTCTTGGTTTGTTGCAGCAGACCCTCCGCCAGAGCTTAGTGTTGGGGCTTAGGGTTTTAGGGTTTAGGGTTTTAGGCGTTCAGGGCTTAGGATGTTTTATGAAATTTCCGCATAAATCGCCTTGTTGCCGGTGTTGCCTGCGCCGAAAGTTTCCTGCATCTGTAAGAGCCTGTTTGCACAGGCTTTCGCCAGATCTTGTATTTGTCAGTTGGCACTCATATGGGTGTTTCTCAAATATCCTCTACTTTAACCCCATAATCCCTTTGTGATCCCAGGAAGCCCCTGGCATCCTTAAATGATCTAAGACATCCATAATCTCAGAGTGATCTGCAAAGCTGTACTTCATACCCTCATGGTTTTCCCCATAATTTCCCCCAGGGTACCCCTAAACCTTAAACCGCGGGAGACTCCCACATTTTGAGGCTACCAGCAATAGTGGATGCCTTGGTTCCATGGCACGTGACCAGCAAATCAGATATGGAAATCTGTGGCTAGCAATCAGAAGACTCTTGAGAAGAGGCTTGTATTGGCCCTTTATGCAGGTCCTGATGCTGGTCCCGTGCGTAATTCATTTGCCAGCACACGTCTCGCGCCGCAGCTATCCGCAATCAAGTCAAACATTGCTTGTCTACATGGGTCTTGCAAAAGAGGGTCCTTTTCTGCGATTCCGTATCATTGATGAGGATTTTGTGGGTTATTAGGGTGGACGCAAATTTTGGGAAGTACCCACAAACCCATGTTTGTTAAGAAGGCCCTATGGATGCAGATATTCGGATCCCACTGCTCCATGGCAGGAGACCATATGAGCCACAGTCTAGACTCCTAGCATGCTCCTTCACAAGGCCTAGAGTAGTCCCCTATATAGTCCCCTATAAACTCCTAGTACCCTATATAATCCCTTATATAACCGCATTTAAGGAGTTTAGACTCCAAACCCTGAACCCTAAACCCTAAATCCTAATCCCCAAGCTCTAAACCCTATATCACCCCCTGTATAGTTCCCTATATGGTCATACGGGACCTAAGGGGGGCCCTGGGGGAGGTGGCCGGCTTAGGGATAGATAGGGTTTTTAAGGTTTAGGCTTTAGGCTTTAGGATTTAGGGTTGAAGGTTTAGGATTTAAGGCTTTAAGGTTTAGGGCTGCGGGGTCTAAGGCTTTAAGGTTTAGGGTTTAGGGCCTAGGTTTCAGGCTTTAGGGTCTGGAGTGCGACTGGCACCGGGTGTTCACCGGGAGGCCTGACACATGTCGCCATGGACATGGACCCATGGAACCCTTTATGGACCTTCGGGCGCCTTCTGCAATTATGGGGTTTAGGTGTGTAGGGTTTAGTGTGAATTCATTCCTTATACGAAAGAATTCTCATGGGGCCCCATTTTGAGTGGGACTTACAGTTGAAGATCCTACCACCCTCAGAAACCCCCATAGAACCTCATAGAACTTCCCAGCCCAGGAACCTCGAAAGGGAGTTTTGCCTCGTCTTGTTCTGATTGCTGTTGGGCTGTAAGTGCCACAATGCTTTAGATTATGATGGTGCTTGCAGAAAGTAAGCCCCGGCACCCAGCCCAAAACCCTCCAGTCCGTATTCTGGCTACCCCAAGACAGAGTCGCTGAAGTCTTGGTCGAATCATCAGCATGGAATCCAAAGCCTGGGGGAAACAGCCCAGAACAGACGTAATCTTACCAGAAGGTTATAGGGTTTAGTGTGTTGGATTCCGGTTCAAATGAGGTTAGGATTGGGATAGCATAGATTCAAGTTATGACCTCCTTTTAGGTGATCTGACTTCAGTCTTAATTGCCCATGAATCTGCGAGTATAGTCAGGCCCATTTGATTTGATCCGAGCGTCCATCAACACCCGCTGACAATGTGATTTGCATAGATAGGGGCCCCAATATACGTAGGCCCCGAAAATGACCTATATGCTCAGTAGAGCAGGACCCCGAGAAGGGGTCCCTAACTTTCAGACCCGTAGCCCCATAGATTTACATCCATATAGCATCTGCATAATGTCCTAAAAGCACCCCTACCTAACCCTAAATCATCATTCCCAAAACCCTAACCCTAAATGGTCATCCCCCCCCAAAAAGAAATCACACCAAATTTCGGAACCCTCGACATTGCTAAAGGATGACCCACATTGAGCCGAAGTTCCGCCGTGCGCAAGCTGGACACCCGGACTTTCCCCTTTAAACCCTAAACCCTAATGTAGACCCCTCATGAATACACCCCCTCCTTCTAAGGGCCTGAATATTAGGATCCCCATTATGATACCTACCTGCAGCCCCAATTACCTACAGCTTTAGGGGTTATACCTACTACTTGGGGGGTGATTACTATGAAGCTGTCCCTAAACCCTAAACCCTATAAACCCTAAACCGTGATTGGGGTTGCGGTAAACCCTAAGAAGAGGACTTTTGCATCCCTAGCCTCCAACCTTTGGGGCTTTGCAAAGTTGAGGGTTTCGAGTGTAATTATTTAGGGTTGAGTGTGTAGGGCTTAGTGTGATTTAGGGTTTAGGGTGTAGGGCTTAGTATGATTTAGGGTTTAGGGTGTAGGGCTTAGTATGATTTAGGGTTTTAGGGCGTAGGGGTTGATAGTTTTTAGGGTTTAGGGTTTGGGGTCCAGGGTTTTGCAATCCCTCATCCCCCCGACAAAGGCTTTGGGGTTCAGGGTTTAGGGTTTTGGTGGCCCCAAGCCACTATCAGACCCTAGACCCTAAACCCTAATCTTGGGGTTGCTTACTGGGGGATAGCAGGGAGTAAGGGAATACATTATACAGGGATTATTTAGGGACCATATTCCTTTATTCCCTACTAACCACCAGTAAGTGAATTACCAAAATCTTGTTTGTTAGTCTGGCGATTTTCCGGGCCTCTGAGTCGTAGAATGCTTTGACTGTCTGTCTGATGCGTACTTCATATGGAGGGTTGACCAGACCGTGGTCCCTTGAGGGATACCGTAGGTTTAGGGGCTTGTTAACTCGCTGACCATGCAGCAGCAGAAGCCGCTGACTACTGTGACTACTGACTGTAGATCTGTCATCTCATCGATTTTTCAGGGTCAGGGTGCTGCTCGTCGAGAGGTAGATATATACGCATGGGCATACATACGTTTTTCGCTTATAAGCCAGTCATCTTCAATTTCAACCTCCATTTGTTTTCCATTTGATTCTCCAGTAGTGTCCATTCTCTTTTCCATTCCTTCCTCCGAAAACCTTGACATAGACCCTAACTAGTAGCTTCCATAAACTGTCCCTTTCCTATTACAATGTAGTCTCCATTTTCTTCAAGTTTTCCAACCCCTCATTCCCATCGAACAACCGGAGAGGGATACCCTAAACCCCAAACCCTAAACCTGCCTATTCCCCCTACCGGGACCTTGAAACCCCGGTTTCTCCAGATCCTTGCTTCGCAGGTTTTTTTTGTGGTGCACGAGCCTCGAGCCTCAAGCCCCAAAACATACTGACCCCCTAGGAGTCATATGATAGCCATACTGTAGGGTCATTTTTTTGGGGGGGGGCCCCGGGGTTACCCGAATCCTGTAATCGTTTCCCAGGCTGCGGCCTTTGCATCTTGGCCGCTGGCTCAGGCTCCATTGTAGGCGTATGCACACACAGAAAAATAACATTTGCCAAAGAGTTTAGGGTTTAGGAACCTATTCAAGTTTCCCTCGTGCGGGGAAAGCATTTTAAGGCTAAGCCCGCTGATAGGGTACGGATGTTTCTAGAAAATCCCTCGTAGACAAGCTTTAGCAGGGATCCCCTGATTCCCCTTTTGACCCCATGGTTTGAAGCATCCGAAGCTAGGCGAGGAGGTCCGCGACCACTGCCTTGCGACGGTGAGGAGCGGTTCACAACCAAAGGGCCACCACAACACAGGGGAATACTGGGCTTCAGGCACAGGGCTTTAAAGGGGCAGGAGGAAACATCGAGCTAGGGTACTGTACCCACCCACCTTAGGGTTTATGTGGGGTGCAAGGGAAGGAAGTGGACACTTGCTGCCTGACCGTTCGACTTGAACCATTAGAGTCTTCCATCCCTTTCAGTTTAGGGACCCGAAAATCAGTGTTGTGGTCGTTTTAATCGACCCTCCACCCAAGACTCCAAGCCCCAAAACCCTCAATTTGCAAGTCTGATTAAGCCCCAAAACACACAAAGTCCAAGTCCTAGACCTAAAATCCTCAATGGGCTCCTAGTATAGGCCCTTAATCCTTTTGTCCTTATATTCCTGTTGCATAATACTCTTAAATGCCCTTGAAGCTCTTACAGCTCAATTAAAGGCCCATATTCTGGGTCAGGACTTTGCTGCATGGTCCGAGTTACCTGGCACTCTGTGCCCCTACGGTGGCGAGGCAAAGTTAGCCCAAAAGGTTCAGGGTTTAGATGAAATGTCGGGCTTAGGGCTTAGGGTGTACGTTTTAGCGCGAAAGCAGGGCCAGGGTTTAGGATGTATGGTTTGAGATTTAGGGTTGTAGGATGTTCTGATTTGGGTTAAGTTTTTCGCATCCAAGCGTTTA